GCGAAAGAGCAGCCGCTACGACTGTTTAGGCGACAATGAAGGCAAAAACAAAACTTGACATGAGGATCGACGACAAAGAGGAGGAAAAAACGAATACTTCCAGTAGCGAAACGCAGTAATATTTTACCACTTTTACCATTGTTGGGAGTTGTCGGTTCTTTGGCCGGCGGTGCAGCGGGAATTGCAAAAGCGGTAAACGATAGCAAAGCGGCGCAACGTCAGCTGGAAGAAATGCAGCGTTACAATCGCGCTGTGAAAGGTCGCGGACTTTATCTCGCTCCGTATAAGCGTGGACAGAGATTCTCAACAAAGTCTAAGAGAAAAAAAAACGTCGAAAAAACATTAAAAATGCCTACGGGTGCGACAACTAACATGCAATTGGAACAATTTGAGAAACGTATGCATACCTTTCTTTAGAGGTGTTTTCATGCGCAATAATTTACCGATAAGCGGTGTACGACGAAACGAGAGCGGTATCGTCAATTTGGATGACGTTGATGGTCCCGGTACTCATTGGGTAGCGTACGCAAAGAGGGGTGATCGTCTCGTATATTTCGATAGTTTTGGAAATCTTCGACCGCCCAAGGAACTTGTGCGATATTTCGGACGAGTGAAAATTGAATACAATTATACAATTATACATCTTATCAAAGTTATAATCAGAGTATCTGTGGACAGTTGTGTTTAAAATTTCTTCAAACGATCAATTTAAAGCCTGACAATCCATCGTCATGACTCAGTATTCGTTCGACATGTCACTGACACTTACGTTGACTGGCAGAAGCAGCATTCTCGCTGTAAACTATTTCCCCGCTATAGATTTGACCGATGTCGATTACGAGCTCGGATTAACGGATTTTGAAATTTATCATACGATTCCGAACGTAAATTTTTCGAATAATAAATTTTACTTTGGCAACGACGACAAGGAAATTACGATTTCCGAAGGATCGTACGAATTGCACGCTATAAATGACTATCTCAAACGCGCAATTTTGCGAGATAAACACCTTTCCAGAGATGTTGAAAACGATTGTGATGAGGAATATCCAATAGCGCTCCGCGCCAATCACAGTACGCTAAAGAGCGAAATCAAATGCGCTTACAGAATAAACTTTACCAAACCCGACAATGTAGGATCCTTACTTGGATTCTCGTCGAATCGTATATTGCAACCTCGCAAGTGGTATGAATCGGACGAACCTGTTAATATTATAAACGTAAATATTATTCGTATAGAATGCAACGTGACTACTGGTGCGTACAGCAATGGCATGCGCGTACACACGATACATGAATTTTCACCGAGCGTACCGCCAGGATATAAGATATCGGAAACGCCGGCACAAATCATTTATCTGCCGATCGTCGTACGGAGTATTACAGATTTAACGATACGTATTGTGGATCAAAGAGGTCGATTGCTCGATTTTCAAGGAGAGAAAATTACCATAAGATAGCATATACGGCGGCGACAAACATAGTATGCTCGTGCTGAATGAAACGGAGTACACGAGAGACAATATTTTTACGCTTTTTACAATACTATTGCAGTAAGGCGAGCGATATCGGGTGACAATAATAAGATAACCATTAAAAAGAAGCGTTGAATCGTGAATTTTTGAAATCATTGAGATTCATCGTACGAAAAGAATGATTGATATTTTGAATATCAAAGGTGAGCCAATCTTTGACGATCGCATCGTCAAGATTGAGACTCATACGTACAATCCGTACGCCAATACGCTTGGATACAGTGACGAGATACGAATACCTATACAACATCAGGATTTGTACACGTTACCGTGTGAAAGCTTTCTTTACATCGAGGGAAGGTTTAATGTGCGTAAAGCGAATAATGAAATGAAGGTTGTATTGGGAAACAATTGCGTCGCATTCATGTTTGATGAGCTTCGATACGAACTCGACGGAGTAGAGATTGATCGCAACAGAAATGTTGGAATAACATTGACGCTCAAAAATTGTCTCTCTAACACACCAGAAAAGTATAAACTTGAAGAACGCTGCGTGGGATTTGATGTACAACAGTGACAAAAATTATTTCAACTTTTGCGTGCCGCTCAGCATGTTGTTGGGATTTTGCGAAGATTATAAACGCGTTGTGATTAACGCTCGTCACGAATTGATTTTGATACGTTCGCGCAACGATAATAATTGTCTATTCGGACATCGGTCGTCGGAAGCTGAGATTGAATTACTCAAGATACAGTGGCGTATGCCTCATGTAATATTGAATGAGATTAATAAATTATCAATGTTGCGAATGTTGGAAAGCGGACGATACTTAAACATGAGTTTCCGATCTTGGGATCTATACAAATTTCCTCTGCTACATAGCACGACCAAACATTCCTGGACCGTGAAAGCCGCCTCCCAGCTAAAGCAACCACGATACGTGATCTTTGTACTGCAAACTGGTAAAAAGAATTCAGTGTCACAAGATGTTACAATATTCGATGACTGCAAATTGACCAACTCTATTTAAACTCGGAATTTTATTCCTACGATAATTTAAATTTAGATTTTGAAAAAAATAGATTCGCCGTCCTATTCGACATGTACTCTCGTTTTCGCAAATCATACTACGATAATAGCACCGCGTTTTTAACCATTCCAAAGTTTCTACATTGCGATCCTTTCTCGGTCATTGATTGCTCGCGACAAAACGAGTCTGTCAAAACTGCTACCGTGGACGTGAGAATAGAGTTTGAATGCAGGGAAAATATACCGGCGAATACTACCGCCTATTGTCTCATTTTGCACGATCGGGTTGTCGAATATAATCCATTGATCAATGTAGTCTGCAAAATTACATAGGTTACCAAATATCCCCTCCATTGCACATGAAGAAAAATATAAAAGATTGAGATGTTTGACGATCGACATCAGTCTGCGATCGAATCTTGTCATCATGGTTGCACCAACGTTTGTGGATCTACAAGGATTTATCGTTGGGAAAAATTTTGTCATGAAGAAAGCTGGGGTTTTGAGAAAAGGATCCATACTTTCTCATTACATTTTTACATGTCCGGTATCATGGCACACGCTTACAAAATCTGAGATGTCAGGTTTTATGGCTGATTTAAAACCACCATGGATTATCGTGGAATGATGGACACGTTTCATATTGGAAGTCGAAACGTTTAATTACGGTGACAGGTGCAATGGAGGAGGATGATGCGTCATCTCTCGTGTACGTTAAAGGCCATGAAAAACGGCAATGGCTGGCCGATATACTGGACAATGATGCGAGAAACGATGTCATTATCGAAACTTTGGATGCAGACTATGAGGATATAGCTTCTTTAAATAAGTTAGATGTTAAGAATACTATGCGTTGTGAAAATCGGCATGTAAAAAATTGCGCTCTACAAAATGTATTTAAGATTTATAATTTGTGGTTGAAACATCATGATGATGATGATGATGATGATACATCAAATCTATACTTATAATAAATTGATGTTGTGATATACTTTTATCGTTTTTCTTATTCTCTCCGTTCTTTCCTCATCCCTATCTATGTACGTGTCTATATATCCGTATCTATGTATGTATCGTGTTTCCATACGTGACACAGCTGCCACATATGTATATTATATTTTGATACTACATTGTGGTACATGATAAAACATTTAAATAATTAAATATAGTTTTGCGTTTGATTTTCATTTAACGGGCGTTGATTTTCGTTCGATGACCAATTATCGTTCGTTTCCATTCGACGACCGTTCATTTCCGTTCGTTTCCGTTCGACGACCGTTCATTTCCATTCGATGACTATTCGATAGCCGTTCAATTACCGTTCGTTTCCGTTCGACGACCGTTCATTTCCATTCGATGACCGTTCAATTACCGTTCGACGGACGTTCGATGACCGTTCAATTACCGTTCGTTTCCGTTCGACGACCGTTCGATAGCCGTTCATTTCCGTTCGTTTCCGTTCGACGGTTGTTTGTTTCCGTTCGATGACCGTTTGATAGCCGTTCGACATTATTGCTATTATTATTATATTATATTCATACACACACAGACACACACACACACACACACACACACACACACACACACACAAATGTATAAAACACACATGTAATAAATTTTATATATTAATTTAAAAAATGTAATTATTTATGCGCCTCTCCTTGCATTTCCATTCTTGCGCTATCTCTCTCTCTCTTACGCTAAGTCTCGCAATATCGTCGTTGAGCTCTCTCTCGCACGCGCTAATTGTAAGTCTCGCGGTATTATCGTTCTCTCTTGCACGCGTCTTCGCGCTATTGTTCTCCGTCGTACACGTTGTCTTTACGCTATCGTTCTCTCTCGCACGCGTTGTTCACAATATTATCGTTCTCTCTCTTTCATATACTCGTTGCTCACTTACCTTTACGTCGTCCTTCTCACGCCATCTTACATTGCATCGTCCTTGTCCCACGATGACGTCATCCTTGTCACACGTTGATGACATCCTTGTCGTATTCGTAGCACTATCCTTTTCCCACACGTAGCGCTATCCTTCTCACACCACCATCTTCTTTCCCCCTTCACTGCGCGGATCCCCTCGTCCATCGATCGCGTCGCGGATCCCTCTTGCCCGCGCGGACCCCCTCGTCCATCGGTCGCGTCATGGATCCCCCTTGCCCGCGCGAACCCCCTCGTCTATTGGTCGCATCGCAGATCCCCCTTCCCCGCGCGTGATGTCACTCCCCCGGCACCGCGGTTCCCCTCGCGCCTCACCCTCCCTGAGAGTACCTGAGTTAGAACCCGCCTAGTCTCACTACTAATATGTAAGATATTATTTTCAATATATAATATATAAAATATACAGGGTGAGCAAAAATAGCAGCTTTTTTTGAAATGCGCGCTATTATCAGTGCGCATGCGCCAGAAGTTAGTCTTCTTAGTAATAATGAGCGAACTTCCTAGACTTTTGAAAACAGTGTTTAGATTCTCGTTTTGTTTACTGTTGTGCAAAAAAAATGGATTCGGTCACAAATGAACAAAAAGTGTGCCTGATCAGACTGTTTTATGAAAGAGGCCGCAGTTTTGCGTCAGCAATTGCTGGATTGCGACATCAATACAAAGGTGAGAAGTTGCCATCCGACGATGCTCTCAAAAGGTAATTATTGAGGTTTTTACATTGTTTACATTTTAGCTATTTTCCAAAATAACCCGTTTTAGCTGCTTCAGATGCCTAATTTTAACTGTTTTTATTATTCCATAGACTGATTAAACATTTTGAGGAATATGCTTCATTTGACGATAGAAGAGCGAGTTGCTCTGGCCGCAAAGTAACTCAAACAACTGAAGATCGTGTGACAGAAGTTAAGGTGCATTTCGAAGCCCATCCGAATGATTCAATAAGACGCGCGGCTCAGACATTGAATATGTCTTATGGTAATGTGCGAAACATCTTGAAATATTTTCTGAAAATGCACCCTTACAAGGTTCAGTGCCTTCAGTTTCTCAGTGACAACGCGAAGCTCGCTCGGAAATCCTTTTGCCAAAATCTTTGCTCCAAGATAAGCAACAATGAAATTGATGCCGAAAAGATAATTTTCAGTGATGAGGCCCATTTTTGGCTCAACGGCTATGTAAACAAACAAAATTATCGATTTTGGGGCACTCAGCCTCCCCATATCATTGAGGAGCACAATCTGCACCCAAAAAAGATTACAGCGTGGGTTGCTATAACCAACAGACAGATATACATTACTGTCTTCACAAATACTGTCACTGGAGAGTACAACAAACTTTTAAAAAATCGATTTTTCCCGTGGTTACGCCGAAACGGCTATGACAGCACATACTGGTTCATGCAAGATGAAGCAACACCTCATCGGACTAAACAAGTGTTTGAGACACTTTACAGCAAGTTCGGACCTCAAGTCATTGGCCTAGGGTATGAAAAATTTGCTAACGGAGGAATGGCTTGGCCACCCTATAGCCCCGACCTCAACCCATGCGATTTTTTTTTGTGGGGCTTCCTTAAGGACCGAATTTATTCAGCAAGACCAACGAACGAAGCAGAACTCGAAAAAGCTATAAAAAACGAGGTCAAAGCAATTAATGCAGAGATGTTGGGCAGGGTTTTTCTAGGCTTTCAAAAACGCCTAGAATTCTGCGAAAACAGTAATGGTGGCCACTTTGAAACTATTGTTCACTAGAGTTCAGATCCTTACGATTATTTTAATATCTTATTAGTCTGTATGCGTGTCGTAATAAAATTTCTAGACAAAAATGAAAAAAGCTGCTATTTTTGCTCACCCTGTACAAAAAATATATTAAATATATTAAAAGATATTTTCGCTAAATAAATTTAAAATGAATATTGTAAATATTAATATCTTTTTCTTTTTAAAGTTAAATTTATTACATTATCAAAGACATTAATATTTAAAAAAAATAATAAGCTTTTTGTACATATGTATACAGGGTGTCAATTAAGTCCCGGGACGGCTGAATATTTTCTCATGTAAGGTATTTTTGAAAAAGGTCAAGGTCATTTCTGAAGTAACGGAATTGTTAATTGCAAATTACATATTTTTTCTTAAAAACAACTATATGTTTTCTTTACGCCAATTGATTCCTCTCATTATTTTGTACATAAAAGTATTAAGGTAAAATAATCGAAAAGTGAATATTTTACAAGATATTTTACGGTTTATGTAAAATTAAGAAATGATTTGAAGCATCATAACTCGATAAATGCTTGAGGGAAAAATATTTTATTATAGTGTTTTGGAAAGCTCTCGAGGTCAGCTATAAGAATATACAATCAAAAATAGGGGTTCCTATTTAAAAAAAACACTTTGACCTTCAAATAACCTTGAAGGTCAAGCTCAAGGTCAAATTGAAGGTCACCGTTGAATTCCTCGTTGAAAATTACTTCAGAAATGACCTTGACCTTTTTCAAAAATACCTTACATGAGAAAATATTCAGCCGTCCCGGGACTTAATTGACACCCTGTATATTAGGTAGTAAACTTAGTTTCCGCGGTTCACATTTAGATGGCGTTAATTGTAGGTGTAATTTACTTTGACATCTGAATGCATCTGCATTTTAGAGGTTAGACATTTGTTAAAAAAAATTCAGTGCGAAAAGATTAATTAAGCGAACAGTATTATTTTTTTCTTTTGATTAAACATGGAACGTGATATGTTGTTTTTTCGACATGTGCTGCTTCATTACTTTGATTTTAAAAAAACTCAGTTGCAGCTCATAAATTGCTTGTCGAAGCTTATAGCGATTGTGCTCCATCAGAAAGAACATGCCAAGAATGGTTTCAGCGGTTTAAGAGTGGTGATTATGATGTGAATGATAAACAACGCTTAGGTCAACCGAAAAAATTTGAAGACATCGAATTACAAGCATTATTGGACGAAAACTCAGCTCAAAGAATTGTCTGCAGTATTAAATGTTACTCCGATGGTTATTTCCAAACGTCTACTTGCAATGGGAAAAATTCAAAAGGAAGGAAAATGGGTATCACACGAATTAACCGAAAATGCCATTGCGAATCGCTTAAACATCTGTATTTCTCTGCTCATCAGGCAGAAAAAAAAGTTTTTTTATGGCGCATTGTGACTGGCGATGAAAAGTGGATCTATTTTAACAATCCCAAACGCAAAAAATCATAAGTGGACCCCGGCCAACCATCAACATCCATACCAAAGCGAAATATCCATGGCCAAAGCAATGCTCTGCATTTGGTATGATAAGGCGTTTACTACGAGCTACTCAGACCGAATGAAAGTATCACGGGGGATCAATATCAATTACAATTGACCCGTCTGAATGAAGCATTGATAGAAAAAAGGCCAGCAGTAGCCAACAATCGACGCAAAGTTATGCTTTTGCACGACAACGCTCGACCACATGTTGCAAAATCCATCAAGGAAACACTGATGCAGCTCGAGTGGGAAATTCTTCCGCACCCAGCGTATTCACCAGACCTTGCTCCTCCAGATTATTATTTGTTCCGATCAATGCAGCACGGCTTGGTGGATACACACTTCAAAAATTACGAGGATGTGCGAAAATGGATAAATGAATGGATTGCTTCAAAAGACCAATTGTTCTATCGTCGCGGAATCTACTTATTGCCAGAAAGATGGGAAAAATGTATAATTAGCAAGGGTAAATACTTTGATTAATGTATTTTTTGCTTTTGATGTCGAAATAAATGAGTTTTTAAGCAAAAAAATCGCAGAAACTAAATTTACTACCTAATATATGTAATTATAAATAAGCAAAAATGTTTTCAATGTTTTAAAAATTATTCTTCAATTTACAAAAAATATTATAAAACGGTGTAATAAAATATGTTGTTTTTAATAAAATATATTACAAAAAATTAATAAAATATATTACAAAAAATTGTTGGAGCATACGGATTCGAACCTGGGTCTACAGGGTGATAGACCAAACACCTTGCGTATCGCCATTAAGTGCTTCTTGCAAATGCTTTCATGTTACCAATATTATAATAAATATTATATTATATAATATTATATAAATATTATATAAATATTATATTATATAATATTATATAAATAAATATTATTGTATAATTTATATGACAGTATGTGTCATATGATGATACAACGATAAAATTGAAAAAATATTATTAATCTATAAAACTACAATTATAGATTATAGATTGCTAATAATATAATTTCAAATAAATATTGACATCATGTTATCTCTCTGTACCGCTAACACGATGTACAAAGTATCGATAATTTGAGAAACCGACGAATTACCAAGTCTAATAGGCACCCGTGTCTTACATATTGTATATTTATTCATCCTGTAACCTATAATTCCACAGTTATTATTCATCATCATGTAATATTTAGTCGCATACATAATTTGAACTATAATTTAAACATATATATACATATGTACACATGTATATATGCAAATATAAAATTCACAAAAAGTGGGCGCCCATTAATCTAGTTGCATTACTGCTTTCTACTACGAGAGGCCAGAAAATATTTTCAGGCCATATCTCGGTGATATGGAATTGTTAATTGCAAATTACATATTTTTTCTTAGAAACAACTATGTGTTTTCTTTACACCAATTGATTCCTCTCATTATTTTGTACATAAAAGTATGAAGGTAAGATAATCGAAAAATGAATGGTTTACTAGATATTTTATGGTTTATGTAAAATTAAGAAATTATTTCAAGCCTTATAACTCAAAAAGTACTTAATAAAAAGGTACTTAATTATAGTGTTTTGGAAAGCTCTCGAGATAAGCTACAAGAATATGCAATGAAAAATAGGGGGTTCCATTTAAGAAATTGAAGGTAATCTTTATGTGACCTTCAAATGACTATCCAAGGTCAAATCTAAGGTCACCGTCGGATTGCCCGGAAAAAATCCTACAACTTTTGTCTCAAACTTTTTTCTCCAAAGTGCATTCCTCCACAGTTATTTGGCCGTTTCCATACTTTTGGATCACCCTGTATATATGGATAGATATAAAATACAATATTTGATTAAAGTTTTTATGCGTAAGAAGTAATAAAATGTATAATACCATGTGCTTTGATCAATGTTTTTTGTACGAAATAAAAATATTTAATGAATTGATAAAGTTGTAATATATATTTTCCACAAATAGATAGAAATCTTCTCTTTATTAGTTTTATCACATTTTCCCTTTCTGTTACATACAATGAATAGCGCTTTCAATTTCTTAAAATTTTTAAAAGTATATATATAGGAAATAAAATATATAATAATATATATTTTGAGAAAAAGATAAGAAAATTATATATTTAATCTTACTGCTGAAAAATAATATGATTTTTAATTAATATAATAAATAAAATAATTTTAAATGAATTTTATATTATATATAACTAATTTTTGGAATAAACATATAAAATAATAATCTTTGGCATTAATGTAATGAGAGTATTATTGTATAACTCACAATTACATCACAAGTTTCCAAATCAATATATCAATAATGAACAGTAATATATATTATATTCTTTTACACAGATAAAAAAATTAAATTCAATATTGCATCCTTAAAAAAATATTGAGATCATAAGTTTAACCTTTGAAACGAACTTCTCGTGACATATTATTTGCATATTGAAAAACTAATACAAAATTCCTAATAGCATACATGTTCAAAAGATGTCCAAACGATACCCAGAGAGGATATTCTTTGAATGTTTTTTTAGGCATCTTTTGGACGTGTGCTATTAGAGATTAGCTTAACATATTTTTAAACAAAAAAAATGTTTACCTGAATTAAAAATTTATAACAAAGTTTTTAAAACATAACATAAAATTTTTAACATAACGTGTTATATACTTGATCCATATTCTGAATTCTCTTTTATCAATAAAAGTAAAAATTCATAAAAATGACTTATAAACTTTCTGATTGGATATGAACTACTTTTAGGGGCACTTTTATCAATAAAGAGGATTCAGAACATGGGCATGAAATTATATATATTTTAACAAAAACAAAGAAATATTACATCTAATAATACATGAATAAACATCTAATAATACTGCAAAGATAAAAGATGCACATATATTTTATGTTAGAAACAAATTGTAGACTCTACAACTTATCGATAAGTTTTTCTATTGAACAAACTAAGCGGTCAGTTTGTCTATCAAAAGCAGCTACCAATTTTTCTTGTCTAAGATCTTGTGATTTCATCTGTTCATCGGCTGTCTTTTTCATCTCGTCGACAACTTTGTTCTTTTTCCTTTGTTTTGAGTTAAAGTCTCTGAGCGACGTTTTTTTCCATTTTCATCGTTGGTGGAACTGTCGCTTTGATTAATCTCATCATTAAATATGGCTTCTTCGTTAACTGTGTCAAACATGAGGGATGCAGACCCTCTTGTAGAAGAGGCTAATGCAATTGGTTTGGCTTATGCCCAAATATATCGTAAAATATATCAAAATAATGATCAAATGGATAACAAGACGCTCCACTTTGTTTTGACTTCATGTTATCGATTTTTGTGTGGTACCGTTTTTTTAAATTTTTAAATTTATTCTCACACTGTTTATGAGTGTATTTGTGGTCACACGCATTCAACAGAGCAGAAATTTTTTTCCATATTTCATTATGACCTCTAGTATTCATTTAAAAGTTGCTCACATTATCTTTGTA